CTCTGGACCTATTAATTATAAATGAAATATACATACACCAGGAATTCTGGTAAATATATAAATTTGTGGACTATATTAAAATTAAAAAATGGTTATATATAAACACATTTACATAACAGTAGAAAAATATCTTAATATCACTCACCAATTTGACTGGAGATTAATGTGTCATGTACAGGACCCCCCTTTTGCCTACATTTATGAAAAATTTACTGGCCAGAATTTAAACATAAATTAGACAGCTTATCTGAGGTTCCTGGAGTTGTCCTGTCCTGTCGCCTGCTATCTCAAGTTATGCAGGAATGCACATCCAACAATTTCGCCTCCTATTTGAGAGGTGTCAACCCAATTTTAACCTCTAGAGCACGAAAATTCTTACTTATTTAAATTTAACGTTTTTCAATTTAAAACAAAATGGCGAGTGTCCTGTGCAGGCGCGCTTCCGTTTTCATAACATAAATTTTTTAAAAACAGTATGGCCATCTATTTACATATAACTACTGTATTTCTGGAAAATATATACAGTATTTTCCACATGAACAGTAGTACATAAAAAATTACAGAGGTAACAATAGGTCTTTATCAAACCCTGCCAGGCATAGTTACATCACGAAAAATTTTTTATTAATTTTCTTTATAAAATTTAAAAATTTTTTCATAAGCTAATGGACAAATGGGAATATGGAGCGACAATCTCAAAAACTTTAAGTATCTTTTTCACTAAAACAAACATATGGGCTGCATTTTCCTTTAAAATAATTCAGTCATCTCGACGCAAAATGTGAAAGTCTTAAAATTTTAGATATGTATCCTAAGAATGAAATATTTCGCTTAAAACCCTTTCGGTTTTTATGGGAGGCGACCTACGGTTTTGGGTGTCTGGACGCTCTGAAGATTTAGACTTGACTTGTATCACTAGAGCGCAGGCGGAGAGATTCATAATTACATGGAAGATTCTGGAGGGGCGCCCAATTGAACGAAAAACACTCCTACGAAAGCAAAAGATTGGCGGGGAGCAACATACCCCCACTGTAAAGTACGGGCGCAATGGTAACTACGAAAAACACAGTAAATAATGGGGGCCCAAGACTGCTCAAAAGCCTCCCCCACAATAAGGGGAATAACCAATAGACCCTGGTTTTCTTCAAAAGGAAGCTGGACAGATACCCAGTCAGTCAAGATCACCGGGGTGTTTTGTACTTGGACTAGTGTGGCCGCAGTAACATCTCGTTGATCAGCCCCCGATCCACCCGGAGGCTTGGGCATTGACCGGACCCCGGGGGCGTAATCCCCCGGGAATGCCCCCCGATTGGTATGTCCCCGTCTGTGTCCGCACTTTACATTTGATATCTGGCAGTCATGTATGTGTAAATGTAAAATTTATTTTTTAAAAAATATAATTTACAACTAAATTCATAAGAAATAAGAAAAATAAAAAGAAGGAAAAATGCGAAAGGGCCCACTGGCCCCCCCTGCGAGGCAGGTCCCAATCCCCACCGCTTAAGCCCAAAGCACCCCCCTAGTCGGTCAGGTCACATGACTTAAGGGGGAACACGGCAAACCGGGCCTGTTAGCCCAACTATCAGGGAATCAACCCACCCACATCTATCATGATTTATCCAACCCATTTTTAAAGTACACAACGTTCTGGGGCCCCTATACGGTATTGGGGGTTTGTTCCCCCTCACCCCAAAAAACATTACCAAACCAGTATTTCCTATATCCCCCCCTGAATCTGAATTTTTTCCAACTTAAAACCCTTGCTGCGAGTCCCTTTTGGTAGATATTTTCAGCACACTATTTACATCCCCCTTTTTTTATTCTGTCTTTTCCATTATAAACCTAATCATATCCCCCCTAAATTTAGTCTTTCTAAGGGGGTCAGTTTCAGGGCCCTTTTCATCCTCATGGGAAGGGTTTTTGATAAGGGTCTCTTTTTTCATCCTCCTTTTTTAAATTTTCAGAGAATTTTATCCTTCTGTAATACGGTGACCAAAAATGGCGCATAATCTAAAAAGAGGCCTAAACCCGGATGTTAAGGGTTAAAAAAAACCTGAGGACTCCCATTATTTATGCTTTTTGTAGAAAACCCGGTTCATTGCTTTTTGCGAAAACCCTTTTGCACTGTTGTCTTTGGGTTTTAGATTATCTAACCAGAACTCCTAAATCTTTTTCGCAATCCGTAATATTAAGATCTACATTATTTAGTTTATATGTGGCATGGTTATTGTCCTGTCCAACATTTAGAACTTTGCATTTGTCTATATTAAACTGCATCTGCCACTTCTCCGACCACTGCATCAGTCTATTCAAATCTTCCTGGAGTGCTCGAATGTCCTCGTCAGAATGAATTCGACGGCCTATTTTGGTGTCATCGGCAAACTTGCCGATGTCGCTCTTTATGCCCTCATCTATGTCGTTTATGTAGATTGTGAACAGCAGGGGGCCCAACACTGACCCCTGTGGAACACCGCTCGTGACGCTTCCCCACTCTGATTTCTCCCCATTTATGCAAACTCTCTGCTGCCTATTTGTCAACCATGCCTCTATCCAGGAAAAAATTTCTCCTCCTATTCCATGTGCTTTAATTTTCCTCAATAGTCTCTGATGTGGGACCCTGTCAAAAGCCTTACTGAAGTCCATATACACAATATCATATTCATTACCATGATCTACCTCCTCAAATACCTTAGTGAAAAAAGTTAATAAATTCGTAAGGCAGGAACGCCCCTTTGTAAAACCATGCTGAGATTCGTTGATTAATTTATGCTTTTCAAGGTGGCTACGAACTGCCTCGGCAATTATTGATTCCATAAATTTTCCCACTATGGAGGTTAGGCTTATTGGTCTATAGTTCGAAGCTAAGGACCTGTCACCTGTTTTGAAAATAGGTATCACATTTGCCATTTTCCACTTATCTGGCACCATCCCAGTTTGTAGTGATATGTTGAAAAGATTAGCCAAAGGTGTGCTAAGCTCCTCTTTACATTCCTTTAGAACCCTTGCATACAGTTCATCAGGGCCTGGGGATTTGTTAGGTTTTAATTTATCTATTTGCCTAAGGACCATGTCACTTGTGACCCTAATAGTGCACAGTTTATTATCGTCCTGTTCTACATAATTTATCATTACTGGAATATCGCTGGTATCCTCCTGTGTAAAAACTGAGAGGAAGTATGTGTTAAAAATTCTACACATTTCCTTATCACTGTCAGTGAGCTGACCCGAGGAACTTTTGAGTGGGCCTATCTTGTCCCTGATCTTACTTCTGTATACCTGAAAGAATCCTTTTGGGTTAGTCTTCGATTCTCTTGCAACTTTAACCTCATAATCTCTATTTGCTTTTCTAATTCCCTTTTTTATTTCTCTCTTTAACTGAATATATCGATTTCTTAATTGCCCCTCTCCTCTTTTGATTTGCCTATATATGCCTCTCTTTTGACCAATCAGATATTTTAATCTATTGTTCATCCATTTAGGATCATTTTTGTTTGATCTGATTTCCCTATTTGGAACATAATTTGAAACATAATTTGACTGAGCAGGAATGGTGATTTTTAACATACTTTACGAAGAACCCCTCCCCCCCCGGTTATACAAACCTTACTGCCAAAGTTTTTTTTATAGTCTAGACTTAGACTTAGAGTAAGGCTAGACTCTAGCCTTACTCTAAGTCAACATGTTACAGTCTACTGTTACTTCTAGACTAAGGCTAAGCTATAAGCATCTCTGAATGTATGGTTTATTTAGAGATGACAGATGACAGGAAATGCAGTCTGCGACTGTTGTGGGTGGCATCCCGGGAGAGGACCGTAAAAAAGAAACCCCCAGTGGAAATAAACCAGACAGTTTGCTTTCTTTGCAAAAATAAAGAGGCGGCACAATGCTGGTACTGGAACAATACACACACAGCCTGCACATAGGAGAAAGAAACTTATGATGACTTTTTTGGTCCATCGTCACAAGCTTCACTCTCCTATATCCGAGGATATTGATGCGAAGGGTCTCCGTGGCCTGGTGGCAAAAGCTCTCGCTTCACACGGTGATTGTCCGGGTTCGATTCCCGGCGAAGGGGTAGAAACATTGGACGTGTTTGCTTACACAGGTTGTCTATGCTCATCCATCAGTATTACTGTAATTATTGTAATCATGGGGGGGCGCTAAACTCATCCATCAGTAAAATAAGTACATACCTGGGTGTTAGTGGACTGGTATGGGTCGCATCCTGGGACAAAACTGGCCTAATTTGGCCGAAATGCTCTACATAACAATCGGCTTTCTATGTAGTAGTATGTCATTGATGCCAGCTAGGCCTGTATACCTCGTACATGTACTTGTAGTAAATAAAGATTAGTAAGTAAGTTTATTTAGGTATACACAAATATGGAAATAAGTAAGGACTCCAATGGAAATAAGTCACTCTGTCTGACTTTTTTGGGTTATCCCAGGTTCTCTACACATATGCTGCTATGTATGATAATTCTATGTAACTGTATTTGTGTATACCTGAATAAACTTACTTAGTTACATAGATTATCATTTATAGCAGCATATGTGTAGAGAACCTAGGATAACCCAAAAAAAAGTCAGTGATTTATTTCCATTGGGATCCTCTAGATATTATTATTATTATTATTCGTCCTCAGGGTCACTGACAGTTTATGGAATTAAGAAAGTGGTCGTCGCCATGGTTCGTGCTTGTGATGCCGGCATCACTGTCCCAAGGGCTCATGTGGTCCCAAAACCGTTACAATCTTTTAACCCAACAGTGAAAAATCTATTGTTGCAATATTATTTTACAATTTTTTTCTTAAAAATGCTGCAGCTATCAAATAAAGTATAATTTATTATATAACTTCATTTTGAAAAATACTTGCATAAAGTTGGTCATATAAATATACCTTGCAATGCATGTAATTATATACAAATAAAATTAATATTATATTTTCTTAATTTTACAAAAGGAAAGTAGATGGTAAAAAGGTTAAGTCACATAATTATTTAGCAAGGGACAGCGGAGATCATTTTAAAATATTAGAAGAATTTGTAGGATGAGGGTGATGAGGTGGTGAGGGCGGCGTCACTCGTCCACTCTCACCGCTGCTGCTTCTCTGACGACATCACTCTGCACGCTCCTCACACCTACGCTCTAATATTGGTAAGGGTACTCTTCCACGGTACCATTGGTAAGGAAACTTCATAGTACCATTGGCAAAGGAACTTTTTTCTTTGTATATTAATGGCAGTGATGATGGATGAAAGATAATAGTGATGGTTGTTGTGAGGTGGGTGGCCGTCCCTCCTGCGCCACCCCACGATCCACATGGTCGACATTTTTTTTTTCCCGTCTTTGGCTCTTAAGAATTTTTTCGTCATATTCGATTAGCTAGTTAATGGGGCCGTCATGGTTATTCTCAAGTTTTTATAGTCATTTTTTAAAAGTACGGAATGTTAAAATAATGTAAGTGACGGGTGTTGGATGCCGGTTTTACACGGCCTCATACCACTACTTTCCTGGAGCGAGGTTCTTTATGCTGGTGAAGGACTCTAGATCCAAGAACTTTAATATTTCTTCCACTTTAACCTGATTGCCTCGTTCCCCAGTGAGCTTAGCGCTTTTCCCTAAATATAGTCCCCATATCCTGCGGAAAGGCCCCCCCCCCCCACCTACCTTCAATATAGGTTCTTTGACATTGAAGGGTTCTTGATCAAAGGAATTTAGTTTCCCTCCGTTTGAATCAAACCAGATAGATTACCTATTTCTAGGCACCACGACCCCTTTTGGTTTAGCGCTTCCCCCTAAATATAGGCACTTGTTACCATCCCTGGCAAACCCCCCCCCCCATTCTTCATAGATCTAAACTTACTCCCTGTTCAGAACATCCACACTTAACTACTGTGCAATCTATATCTACAGGACCTTAAATTCCAATATTAACCTTGACCTAAAACGCTTTCTTGATAGTTGACAGGATCCACAGGCATAACACCAGAACAAACATCTGACATTCCCCGTGTTCGACTAAATCTTTACAAAATTTCAATGTGTCAAAGGGCCTAAAATCTGGAACACCCTACCTGAAAACTCTAGAACTGCAGACACATTCATCACTTTCAAAACTACAGTTAAAAAACATCTTATCTCCCTGATACCCCCCAACAACTAACTACATGATAACCACCTGGTGGTTCACAATTACTCACTCACCCACTGACTATAAACCCAGAAATACTAATCTTAATCTTAAAATAATGAATCCTAACTAGTCATAAGTTTGCCTATGGTACTCCAATATACACTATTGTGCCAAAACAAAAGCATTCACAATGCTAAACTCAAACTATAATGTAGTCACTTAGCCTTAATACCATAATCTAATAATTTAAAGTTAATCATTAATCTAAGTACCCGAAATGCCTAGCCATGCTAGGTGTCCTACTCCTAGTGGCCCCCTCTGTAATTATTTTAAAACTTGTAAACCACACAATATCCAAAATCTGAAAACCTGGCATTGTAATCCTTAGAGAACAAGCTTGATTGATTGAGACACACACTGGTAGAGGACTCCCCATCTAATAAATCTTAGTTCACATCCCCCAGGATCTGTTTCCCTGCGATTTTTTTTTATTTTATTTAAAACAGTTCATACAATATACATAGTTACGTATAAAAAGAGGCATTATCAGTGGCTGTTCCGGTCCACTAAGTAACACTATTCATAATGTTTCTGATATACACCTAACTACATAACAATAAGAGTGACCCCCCCCCCCCCCCCAAAAAAAAAAAAAAAAATTATTATACTCAAAATTGTGCTAAACCACAATGATGAACATGTACTTTAAACAGTTCTATGTACTCCATACATTATCGTTTTTAGTTTAAAACATTGCAATGCATTAATAAATAAAAGAAGCCTTACCAGGTCCTCCACAGAAAAAAAGAATTTACATATTCGCAATGCTTACATGTTTATCTGAGCTGACACAAAATATCCCTCGTATGCTTTTTATCATTCAAATATATTACAATATGCATGAAAATTTTAATTATACTTATGAAATTTACTAAAGAATTAATACAAATATTAAGCATTCTAAAACTATTCAAAGAACTTTTAAAATAACAATTACTCTTTATGACAATATATAAATAACTTTACTATAGTGAAGAATGTCAACTAATATGACATGGTGGCCTGGTGGTTAACGCTCTTGCTTCACATGGTGAGGGCCTGGGTTCGATTCCCAGCCACAGTAGAAACATTGGACGCGTTTCTTTCCACCTGTTGTCTATGTTCCCCATCAGTAAAATCGGTACCTGGGTGTTAGTCCACTGGTGTGGGTCGCATCCTGGGACACTGACCTAAGGAGGCCTGGTCACAGACCGGGCTGCGGGGGCGTTGACCCCCAGAACTCGCTCCAGGTAAACTATACACTGGATATTGAAACACACCTGTATTACATATACCAAGAATGTATATTATTAAACACGTATTATGTTTAACAATCCAGATGTTTGACATGTTTCAGAGCCATTTCAGACTTGCTCTTTCACACACTAAGGTTGATAAAGAACATTATAGCCCCTAATCGAATTGATAAGCCCCCTCTCGCTTTTCAGGAAAACATCACTACAGTTAAACAGTGCTAAAATTCTATTAGTTCTAGCAGTTCTATGTCCATGTAATTCATATTTCCCTACCCCCTTATACAGAGACCAGTCCACCCAGCCATTACAACACTAATTCGCGCAACCCTCTCAGTCATACCTCTATACAATACCGGAAAGTCTATAGCCCATCTACGTCCATACACTCTCATTTATACACTGTTTTATAGAAATGTCCTGCTAAAGCCCTTGTTCGTTTGTTCCCCCCCACCTCCCTCATCACCCATGATATAGATATAATCTGCCACTAAATACATGACTGCCCTCTTCACACTATCTCCCACTCCCTCTATATCCAAACTCAGTGCCCTTAATACCACTAACCCACTCCCACCCACCATATCCAACACTGCGAAACCATAGACGTGCCCTCTCGATATGCTTGCAGAAATACACCACATGTGCTGTTTCCTCCCCCCCACACAAAACAACATTGAGACTGCAAAATTCCCATCCGATACAGTCTTGCTTTAGTTGGCAAAATCCCATGTAAAAACCTATACTACATAGTTTCCCTCGCCCTTGACTTCAACCGCAACTTGCTGAATTCTCCCCAGATTCGTGTCCAATTATATAATGGAAAAAGTCCCCCCTTCCAACACCTTACCAACCTCCCCAAAACACTCCGTTAAATTTCCCGGATTTCTTACTTGCAATAAGTATCTCAACATACTCGTACACTCCTCTAAATCCCTCCCCCCCCCTCCCCCACCACCGCCTCGCATCTTCCATCACATCCCTCACTCTGAAGCCACGTTCCCCACCCAATCTCGGATAACAATGCTTCACGTACATGCTCTTCTGTCTGCTACCCAAAGTAATTAAACCTAAAACCCCCCCCCCTTTGCCAGCGGTGTCATTACAACCGTCTGCCTCAGCCAGTGACAACCATATCCCCATATAAAATTCAGTACTTTCCTTTGCACTTGCCGCACATTTCGCCACCAAGGGGTACACCACAGCCACGTGCCACAATTTAGGATAAATGAGTGTATTAACTACAATGACCCTCTGTTGTATAGTCAGACCACTCGTGCTTATTCCCCCTAACCTAAGCAATACCCTTTTAGAATTTGCCTCTAGCCCCATGTGCTGCCCCTCTGTACAATACTCCACAGATTTTTATCTGCTCTACTGCCTGCCATCCATACTTTTTTCCCAGTTTCCCTCCCACCCATGACCCAACCTCCAGTAATTTCGACTTTTCACTATTAACACTCATACCTGTTGCTCCACTAAATATTTCAACAATTCTGCTTACATTCTTTAACCCCTCCTCTCCCCCCACTAAGACCGTCGTGTCATCCACATAACCAACTATACCCGTAGCACCCCTAATTCTTACCCCCCCCCCTCACTTCTACATTCATCAACCTATATAATGGGTCTTGGAGACGTGCAAATAGGATCTGAGACATGGGGCATCCCTGCCTCAGCCCCCTACCCATACTAACCATCTTCCCCACCCTTCCATTTATTTGCACTCGTATTTCTGCACCTCTATATAAAGTTTCCACCCACTGCACAATTTCCTCGCCGAAACCCATCCTCATAATCATCCATAATGTCTCTACACAATCATAAGCTGCCTTCCAATCCAAAGCAAGAACACCTCTGCCGTCCATCCTACACTCCTCTATATAACCCTTTATCCTCCCATGCCCACTAAACATTGTTCGCCCTGGCACGCCCATCTGTCCCCCATCTATAACCTTCCCAATTACTTTACGCAATCTATTACCTAAAACCTTGGCAAACAATTTATAATCCCCGCACATTAATGATAAGCCTCTATAATCTAGGATGCTATTCTGTACTTCCCCCTTTGGAACCATAACTACTACACCTGTCCTTTGTGTTAGACTCGTGCTTCCCTTATCCTTCATCACATTCACCAACTGCACCAAGAATTCCTTCATGACATCCCAGTTGCTCAATAAAATTCATTTGGGATTCCATCTGTCCCAGGTACTTTCCCGACACTCATCCCTTTTAAAGCCGTCCACACTTCCTCTTCATCTATAGGCCCTTCTATCATCGCTCTATCTGCTGACTCTAGGTTTCTCTGTATCCCCTTCTCTAAAATCTTCATATCTGCTATCTTCCTGTTTCCCCCTCTCATGTGCATCTCAAACCACTTATCAGCATAACCACTCATACTTTCCGTAGTTACTAACCTCTGTCCCATTGTATACCCTCCCACATCCGTATGTACGTCCAACTTCATCAGTCATTATCCTCTGTAGTGTCGTTAATCGCTGCAATACACAGGCGGATGGCTTATCTCCCCATAAAACATCTTCCAATCCACCTCTCAATCTCTCGCCATCAAATCTTGCATTCTGCATTTCTATCAATTGCGCTTTGATGCCCTCAATCTCTTGTACTGGATAAACCCCACTAAAACCTTCATAGCACTGTTTCAACTGCCCTTCCTTTCCATGGGTTAATAATTATGAAAGCCTTTTCACGGTCATCTCTGCATGGTGTGAAGGATTCAGTCATAGGTATTGTACTCTGACACCACCTTCTCAACACATCAGCATCAGTACACTACATAACTCCATTATATAGCTAAAATAAAACTACATGGTCCCCCATATTTATGCGTCAGTTCCCTGATGACAAGCTTCCATGCCATTCCCTGCAAATTTAGCGCCACACCAGAGTTCTCTTCGGGGCGACTAGGCACTTTGCTAAATGGAAAAAAAAAATCCACCTTTAACCCATTGCAGAGTCGTCTAACCAAGAAAGAAGTCAGCAATGGAAGTTTGAAAAAATTATAGGAAAGCACTAGGCTTGGAAAAAGCTGTAGATGAGTGAAACTCGTAAATGTCATGGAAGTGAGAACCTTTGGCAGCTTTAATATCAGATAAGAAAGTACACAAGTAGGGTGTGTAAGAGTTCGACCTGCCTAGCATAGGCCAGTAGGCTACCTGCCGTGCTTTTTTTGTAAATTTTGAAATTCAGGTAGGTTAGGTTTTTGATTTTAGGGTAGGGTTAGGCAAGTTGTATTAAGCTCTACATAAAGTTTATATGTAGCATGGTTATTTTCCTTTCCATTTCTTAGAACTTTACATTTGTCTATATTAAGCTGTCCCACTTTCCCACTATTGCATCAGTCTATTCAGATCTTCCTGCTGTGTTCTAGCATCCTCCTCAAAATTAAATCACTTGCCTGTTTTGGTGTCCTAACTATAAATTAAAAAGGGCTGCACAGCAGGTGTCCAATTGGGGTTGAGGGATTATCTAGGTGGATTGAAATGCTGTGACCTAAATATTTATCCTATGGAGCAGGTAGGAGAGATGGTTGCTCATATTTTTCAAAGCATAGTTTAAGCTGTCCAAACAAAAATGAACCCTAAAGAGATTCACTAATTTAAACATTTAGTCAAGAGGCATCATTTGAGGAATAAATATATTAAATTAAAGAAATCAGAGGAAATAGGCCAAAAGATTATGGAATTCAACCTAAAAGGTCTAATATTAAAGACCAACCCTAAAGCTTTCTTTCAGGTGTATATGAGGAAGATTAGAGAAAAGGTTAAGATCAGCTTACTGCCAATGATGCAATCTTGAATGTTTATTTCTTATGCAGGAGGACCCTAGCTAATTTGCAGAAAAAAAAAATTATGCAGGTCAGGACCAAAGCTATGTATGATCAGGCACAAAAAAAAAAAAGCCATATGGACTGTTTTCTAGGGGTTATAAAAGAATACAAGGAGTAGCTTTGTAAACCATTAGTCTACCAGAGAAGCTCCTGGCCAATTTGAGGAAAATTCATAACTTTAGACTATCTTGTCTGCAAATCATTAAATGCTGTACAAAGAAAAATCTTTGGTGTTTACGGATAAGAACATAAAGAAGGAACACTGCAGCGGGCCTACTGGCCCATGCAAGACAGGTACAAATCTCCTACTGGCTTAAGCCAATGCCCCAACCTAGTCAGGGCATGTCACATTCACTTAAGGAAGGAACACGACTGACCTAGTAGCACAAGCTAATTAGGTCCAACTCTCACCCACACATGTATTTATCTAACCTATTTTTAAAACTACACAATGTTTTAGCCTCAATAACTGTACTTGGGAGTTTGTTCCACTCATCCACACCTCTATTACCAAACCAGTGCTTTCCTATATCTTTCCTGAATCTGAATTTTTCCAACTTAAAACCATTGCTAAGAGTCCTGTCTAGGCTAGATATTTTCAGCACGTTATTTACATCCCCTTTATTTATTCCTGTCTTCCATTTATACACCTCAATCATATCCCCCCTAATTTTACGCCTTTCTAGAGTGCAGATTCAGGGACCTCAGTCTGTCCTCATAGGGAAGATTTCTGATACATGGGATCAACTTTGTCATCCTCCTTTGTATGTTTTCCAGAGCATTTATATCCATTCTATAATAGTGACCAAAACTACAGCATAATCTAAGTGAGGTCTAACCAAGGATATATAGTTGAACAACCTGAGGACTCCTCTTATTTATGCTTCTTGATATGAAGCCAAGGATTCTGTTAGCTTTATTGCGGACACTTATGCACTGTTGTCTTGGTTTCAGATTACTGCTAACCAGGACTCCTAAATCTTTTTCGCAATCTGTAATATTAAGATCGACATGTGGCATGGTTATTTTCCTGTCCAACATTTAGAACTTTGCATTTGTCTATATTAAACTGCATCTGTCACTTCTCCGGCCACTGCATCAGTCTATTCAAATCTTCCTGGAGTGTTCTAATGTCCTTGTCAGAATTAATTCGACGGCCTATTTTGGTGTCATCGGCAAACTTGCTTATGTTGCTCTTTATGCCCTCATCTATGTAGTTTATGTAGATTGTGAACAACAGGGGCCCCAACACTGACCCCTGTGGAACACCGCTCGTGACGCTTCCCCACTCTGATTTCTCCCCATTTATGCGAACTCTCTGTTGCCTATTTGTCACCCATGCCTCTATCCAGGAAAAAATTTAGTTTAGTCCATTCCGTGACCTTTCTTGTATCCTGATCTGCTTGTATGCCGAGTCAGTTTTCCTCAATTAAATTAATTGAAATGCCATTAATCCATTCCAGTGGAATTCCTGCTCATCTATCAGTTAGTCTAATATGATATAATAAATATAAATAGTAACATAGAAACCTGATATATACTCTAGAATGAATAAAATGTCTTTATGCGTGTAACAAATGGAGGCGGTCATTCCTGCCATCTAGTGATGGTATTCAATGCCATCTAGTAACAGCCTTTCGAAGCTTGCTTATTTTAGGATGTATTATTATTATAGTATTATACTATGTATTATAATGGGGAAGTGTTAAGGGGCAGTATAACTTTTTTTTTTTACTGTTAATATTTGTCAAAAAGATATGCCAAACAACTGAAAAAAGAACGGTTTACTGAAAATATCCTTTGGCAGGATCATAGTCCTATATGGAACAACGTAAGGTTGTTTGGGCACTTGGTACCGAGAGAACAATGCTAATACAAATTTTTCTTGATGCACTTTCCTCTAAATATCTTATCTTTATTCCACACAAAAAGTTTTAGTTCTTAGACTTTTGCATAAAAATCTGCCCTTTACTCCCACATAAATCCCAAAATATTTGGAATACAGTGGACCCCCGGTTAACGATATTTTTTTTACTCCAAGAGCATGTTCAGGTGCCAGTACTGACCGAATTTGTTCCCATAAGGAATATTGTGAAGTAGATTAGTCCATTTCAGAGCCCCAAACATACACATACAAACGCACTTACATAGATACACTTGCATAATTGGTTGCATTCGGAGGCGAGTTATGCAGGGGTCCACTGTATTTCCAAAAGTGCATCACTAAAATTAAGAACAATCATTATTTTACAATTTCTGTGAAGATCATCCTACTTAAGTAATAAAGGCATAGGAAAGAGAAATAAGTGAGTAAGTTACTTCTGAGATATAGGCGTGGAACGCAGTTTCGATTTTGTTCGCGAAAATCCAGTTTGTTTCGGTGGTTTCCTTGGTAAACTGATGTTCTAATGCAGTTATCCTCTTCAAAACGCAGTTTTCTCTTGCTGAAGGCCAAAAAATACGACGAGGGGTAATTTTATATCCAATATTGCTGGTGGACTCGCTCCCTATTGTGGCCTATTTTATTCAGTTTAGAGTATATAGTATGTTTGTTATTTATAGTGTTTATTATATCACATCAATTCTGATAGATAAAAAGCCATAGAGTTGATATAAGCGTAATAATGAAGTGATTTCTCCTGCCTCTCTGGAGCGGGAATACTGCCGGTGTTCCCAGATGGTTCCCGATTGGTTGGAAGACTACGGATAAGCTCCGCCTACTTTTTGATGCCAAATAGTCAATTATTATACTAGAAAGAATAATGCAAGAAATAGCGATAAAAGGAAAAAAATCCAAAAAATATATATGGGTGGAGAGCAGATGCACTACCCACATCGCCTTCACCATACCTGGTATAAATGACTATAATTTCTTGTAGAAATGTCATTTAACGTTGATTCTGGTACCACTGTTGCCAAAGTTCAGCTATTTTTCTATATGATTAACTCAATTTCATAATTTTTTCGAAAAATCGCTCGCACGCCTCGCACTTTATACCGCCACTTAAACCCGTGGAATTATACAGCACCTGTGGGGGGGGAGGGGATGGAAGGTATTCAGGCTTAATTTAGGGAACTGGAGCACAGATAAAATTTCCCCTAGATCAAGAGCCCCTTGCCAGCATCCTGAATTTTTGCTTGTATACGGAAGCAAAAAATTGACTAGTGATTGCTTGTACCCTGAAAAATTAGTGGAGTGAATGATTAAATTTTTTTTTTTTCAGTCCACCTTGGTGGGAGACGGCTAATGTATTCATAAAAAATGCTGGCTAAAATTAGCAGGTGCCATTTTTCACGGCATATATTTTAATGCAACTTTATTTTCAGATGTGTGGTGCAGAGAAGTTATGAGAACTAGGGGAAGCCATTTTAAAAGTTTGAGCAAAATGTTTCTGAAATGGGTCTCTTCTAAGTGCTGTACTGTTCTGAGTTTGTCCCTGTCTGGGATGTGCAAGGATGGTTGAAGAATCATTAAGACCCCCTAGTGCAGAAACTAGATAATAAACTGCTTGGATAAACAAGGCTGCTGCTCTTCCTTAGAGACCCTAAAACCATCCTGCATATTAAAAAGGTAGACGTTTGCTAATTAAACTGAAATTTTATGGAAATGTTAGATTAATTCACATTTGTGGTTTCAAGTAGATGGCTTCTAAATGTGTACTAAAGTATTCTGCCACTGGGCCATGTTTTTATTTGTTGACTCGTTTATATCTAGTAATTAGAATGTGTATGGTGTTACTGGAGGATGCAGCCAGGGGTGGTTTTGTAGGGCCCAGGTCCCTAGTGCTTGTGCTGCATGCTTTTGTCCCAGTGCCCCCTAAAAATTTAATGTGAAGAGTGGGACTATTATTATTGTAGTTTGATTTATTAAGGTGTAAAATTTTAAAAATCTTAACCCTTTGACTGTCGAGACCCCTGCTCGCAAACTTGCTCTGTCAAAGAATTTTAAGTCTTGAAATGATAAGAGAATATTTTCCCAATGGTAATGACACCAAAAGTACGAAGTTTGATGGAAAACTTACGGAATTATGCTCTCGTGAAGTTAGTGATCTCGGCGATACTTGCACATCGGCGATTTCGCCCACTTTGAGCTCTATTTTCAGTGTTCTATTGAGTACAAGAAACCTGTTATTTACTGATTTCAGCTACCCAATAGTGGCCAGAAATTGGTAATTTAGCCAATTTCATGCAAATTTAAAGATGTCAATTTCAAAATAAGGTCCAGAATGAACATTGCAGACATTCCTTGCATTAAAATATTTTGTTCATCAGTCATGTCTCCAAGCTCCTCTTGCATTACTCTTGCTTTCTATTTTGAATTTTTATTCAAAAGAAATTAAGATTTACTGTTATGCAGACTTGCATTATTGTAATTGTATAAATAATGCCAACCCATTCATGACTGCGTATTAGAATGGCTATTTGGACACCTAATGAACAATGACGTTATTTGTTTACTCTTGAACATTGGCAAAAATCGAACATTTCTGCTACTTTGAACTCAATTTCTAGGTCCTTTTCATCAAGCCAATCGAAATCTTTTTTTCTGTAATTTCTTCCATTCTATCAAATGAGACCAAGAAAACGAGAATATAGCCTTGAATACTATACGAAAATAACACCAAAGTTGGCATTTTAATCCATTTTTTTTTTTTTTTTTTTTCTCTCGTGTACTGTGCTGTGCAGGATTTTTTTTATACTGTGCACTCTGACCACAGACCCATTCTCTCACATGTGGACCTACCAGCTTTCTCCCGCTCAATTTGAAGCTGCTAGAATTTTGGAGTTTAAATACGTCAAAAATGCTGGCTCATAAGGCATGTATGTATCGGAAAGGGTTAAAGGGGGGAGAACAGAAGACACTAGGTGTCTTGGCAGGCAGAAATTTCAGGAGGGACATTTGAGGGAGCAACTATACTTAGGGTTGAACTCTAGCCTGTTGAATTATAAGAATAACTTTTCTGCCCCAGTGATTTTAATGAAAAGGCTGGAACCTCTGAGGCTCCAGCCTTTCCTAACATGTCAAATCTTTAAGGTTTGACATGTTAGGAAACTGCTTTTGGGAGCTTTGGCAGTCCTGACAGACGTTAATAAATTAGTATGAATAGGCACACGTGACTGGAACACTACACAAATAACCTGCTCGCATGAGAAACGTGTGCATGTTTAGGTATTGTTCCAGTCAAGGTATTGTGCCTATTTATGGACCAAACAGAAAAAGCATCTAATTCTTTGCAACTATAATGGCTCCCTTCCCTTCATGCTTGTTTTAGTTACTGGTCAAGTAAGACCAAACTTGTCATAAGGTTGTCCTATGTGCAGACTATTTTTGGCAAAATAAAATTTGGTGCCAGTGATGATATAAAACTTCCTTAGATGTCTGACTTAAAGTGAAGATGCATAGTCCTGATGCTTTATGCAGTATTAGTATTTTGGTCTTTAAGATTGTGAATTTTAATGGTGGTTTTCTATTTTCCAGGTAATTGGTATAGCCCTTGCAAAAAAGTAGCTTATAACAATGGTAAGAACCCCCTTTTTTTTTTTACAAATTACTTTCATATGCAGGATTAAAGCTTGTGAATTTGACTTTGACCAGAAACTAGTTGCAAAGGGAACCAGAATGAGGTGCATAGGGAATGGCATAACAAGAGGGAATTTTAGTACAGTGATGTATGTGGCAGTATGATAGTAGTAATGAGGGGGGGGGGCACTGGTAATACTGTCAAAGGAACAAGAACAGGGGGGAATTGCAGGATAGCTAATGGCCCACAGGGGGTAGGACAGAAAAAGAGCCCACATACAGACAGGAAAGGTGAAGGGATAAGGAGAAGAGATAAAGAAGTTAAGTCACTTGGGATTACTCGTCTTATTAACTGGTTTTCTGCCGAAACTCTAGCTTCAGATGGTTTTGTTGAAGCATTCCTTGTATACACTAATATGAATCTTGGCCTTGGCTTTCTGTAATTGACCTTACCAGATGCTCAAAACATCCTTCACTTTTCCTATATTTTCATTGCCTTTTGGGACTTTAGCCTAGGTAGATTTTATCCTACCACTGGGCCATTTAGGTCTCCTGCATTGCTACTATGGCTGCAATTTTTTTTTTTTATAGCAAGACTAGGGACATTTGGATATCTTTACTGAAAAGTTTTGCATATGCTGTAGTGGTATTCATCTGTAGGTATCTGATATATAATTTATGTATATTTTAGTTGATCATGATGATCACTGGAAGAGTCTAACGATACATGTTGATTATTAGCCAACTCTGAAGATAATGTTCAAAATACTATTTTTGTAAATACCATCTCAGATTAATGTTAGTTTTATTCCTCAGATTGATGATGATCTTCAAATTTATTAGTAAGTATTTTAAATTGGCAGTTTGGAGGGATATGTTGTGTATCTTTATACGTATATGCTTCTAAACTTGTATTCTGAGCACCTCTGCAAAAAGTGATTGTGTGAGTGTGGTGAAAGTGTTGAATGATGAAAGCATTTCCTTTTGGGGGATTTTTTTCTTTTTTGGGTCACCCTGCCTTGGTGGGAGACGGCAGACTTGTTAAAAAAAAAAAAATTAAATTGACAGTTTTCTTATTTTTATTAAGTTGTACTGGAAAAGGGTTTACTAGCCCATTGTTCCCAGCATTTTAGTTGACCTTTAAAATGTGCATGACTTAGAGGAAAGATTCTTATTCTCCTTGCCCTGTCATGCGAAAGGAAAAGTAATAAGAGCAAGAATTAAGATTAAAAAAAACTTGGACGATTGTATATACGTACATAGGTGTACATGCATGCATGTGTAGTGTAACCTAAGTGTAAGTAAAATTGTCAAGATATACCTGTTAACTTTTGTGTTTGAGACATGCCAGCCCACTTACCATCCTGTTAGGAAAGTGCAGGTTTTTCACTCGTTTAGGACCGTAGTACCTCCCTGGGTGGTTGCTGTCTATCAACCTATTACAGACAATAATGAAATTTATTTTTTTTATTGCTTTTTGGGTCACCCTGCTTCTGGGAAGCTGCCAATGTGTTACCAAAAAATTAACTTTTCCAAATGCTGTGTAAAGTGCAGCTTCAGATTTTTTTATTTGGCCCTCAGACTGTCCAGGATGACTTCATGGCATTTTGTGTGGAGTTTCAAGGTTGTCTATAAATTTTTATTGCTAAATGCTGTTTGCCACTTGGATTTACTAACACACAAATAGGGGTATGAAATAAGACTAGTCTAAAGATCATTTTTAAACTTACTGAACCAAAGTAATTATCATAAGTTGATTTATATAGAAATAACTCGTAGATTTGCAGGTAATGCTGAGAAAAACAAAAATGTTTGATTAGCCCTTGAGGCTGTCTCCAATTTGCTATTCAGTTTCTAGAATGCCTAAGTAACTTGTTAGCATTTTTTATTCTTGGGTGCAAGCATAAATTTCGGATCTAGAATTGAAATTTCAACCCAGTAGCAGTCTAGCAGGCAGTAATTTATTACTGCTTAATATAGTCCATATTTTTAGTATTGCTAATGGTTTTCATAATGAATTAATCCTGTTCTACCTGTGTTGTAAGAGCTCTTGCATAGCTAGTACTTGAATGACTAATTCATTCACCTTGGGGGGGGGGGGATGGTTTTTATTAAAGTGCCCTTTCCATGTAAGGTTAGCTTTTTTTTTTTCCAACATGCTTAAAAATGATGATTGATGACGAGTCCTAAGGTACAACAGCTACCTGTGCCAATTGGTGTGGACATGAACGAGGCATTTGCCTGATTAATGTGCTGTAATATAAGCTATTGTGGGAAATGTGTAGTCTTCCTAAATTGTTTTCCCTTTCAGGGAGGGTGAAGTTGGAGCATGGAATCTGGTCATTCAACCCTGATTGCCTCTTACACCAAAGTGTGATGTGAGGGTTTAGTGCCCTCACTTCAAATCCACACTTCTAGTTTGGTAAGAACCTTTTTCTGAAAGTGGTTAGAAAGTAAGTGCTCTTAAAAATGATGATTGATGACGAGTCCTAAGGTACAACAGCTACCTGTGCCAATTGGTGTGGACATGAACGAGGCATTTGCCTGATTAATGTGCTGTAATATAAGCTATTGTGGGAAATGTGTAGTCTTCCTAATTTGTTTTCCCTTTCAGGAAGGGAAATCTGCATGGAATCTGGTCATTCAACCCTGATTGCCTCCTACACCAAAGTGTGATGTGAGGGTTTAGTGCCCTGAGCAACATCTTTTAGGGTTGCTGAAGCTTCAAATCCACACTTCTAATTTGGTAAGAACCTTTTTCTGAAAGTGGTTAGAAAGTAAGTGCACTTAAAAATGATTGACGAGTCCTAAGGTACAACAGCTACCTGTGCCAATTGGTGTGGACATGAACGAGGCATTCATTGGATTGATATACTGTAATGCAAGCTATTATAGAAAATGAGGTGGCCCTAAATTTTTGTTCTTCTTTCAGGGAAGAAGGGTAGAGCATGGAATCCCATTGGACAACCCAATGGTTGGTTCAACCTTGATTACCTCTTAACCTCCCAGAATGTGATATAAGGATTTAGCAACCCCCTGCTTGATAATCTTTCAGGCTTTGAAAAATCTTCAGATTAACATTTCTGCTGTGGTAAGCTTTCTTCAAACTATGAAAGTGATTTGATATTAGGGGGGATGCTCTGTCCAAGGAATTGGGCCTATCTGCCATTTGCTTATAGCAAATAAGAGTATAGCTAGTATTCAGCTAGCTGTTCAGTTAGTTAACTTGGGCAAGAGCAAAGTGATCAAGAAAAGAATTTAGGTATTGGATATCAGTTGGAAGCAGGTGGTATGGAAGAAGTGAATGTGTAGTCATCAGACAGATGTTATATAAGGCAAGCCATATAATATCCATGTAAGCAGCTGTGGAGGAAAGTTACTGTAGTGGTATTAACTTCCGTGGGTGAAAAACGTGGATTTTAAGTGTTGCAGCAATGATGAGGCTGCAGACAGTGGAGAACGTAATAGTGTGGTTTAAGTATTCGAGTTCAGTTTGGAGATTAGGACAAGGTGAAGTGTTGCTAAGAAATGTTATCCAGAGTGCTGGAGGGTTACTGAGGTACCTTGACATTTGGGTAGGGAGCAAATTAAGAGGGGTAGGGGTATGGGGTTGTCCTAGGAAAGGGAGTGATCTAATAACTATTGATACATTTAGTATTAAACCATCTTAATTTTACAACACTTAAAAATAATCCTAAATGATGATTGTTCACAGACCTGTTCTGTAATACTTTTGAAGAATCCGAACGGCCATCTGATCATTTTTTCATGTGTTGTATCTAAGTGTTGCTTTTATATCTGATATATCTTCAAATTTCCAGGCAAGCAGTACCAAGCTTTACAATGTTAAAGCTCCTATCAAACATTAAGGAAGGCCCTAGACAAGGAGCTGATAAAGGAATGTTCTTCCCTCGATTGGACCCAATAGCCTCTCATGCCTTAGGTACTGTATGTCCCCCCCCCCTAGTTATTTATATTTGTTTGTAGCAACTGTAGAAAATTAAATGCAATTATACTTTAAGATATGCTAAACCCATTTTAACTTTAAGATTACTTTAGCTTAGAATGCATCCTTGTATGATGAATGATTATTATTCACAGACCTGTTCTGTAATGGTTTTGAAGAAATCTACAACCATCTGATCACTTCTTAATGTGCTATACTGAATTATTGTTTTTTGTATCTAATTGGTTCTATTTAATTTTCCAGGTAAGAGGCGGTTCTGAGCTTTACGTTTATCAATCTGGTTTCATCCCATCTTCTAATCTTCCAGAGTTTTTAATGTAAAAAAATTTAAATAAAATGTCTACTGTACATTTTTTTTAATATCTTCAGTTGGCCTCTCTATATGTAGGTATGAAGGGAAAGCTCAAGAGATTAACATTCTATGCAGAATATAGGCTGTAAGGGAAGCCTAGTTGTCGACCATATTTATTAATATGCCTAATTTGTCTTGTGATAGCAGTGCTGTATGACCCTTATGGGTTTAGCACTTAAGATGATTTTAAAAGTAAATTGTTGCCACAAGCTAACTTATGATTCCTCGCTCATTTGTACTAATGTTTAAATGCTGATTAGGAGATGCATTTTTCAGTTATTGCACAGCACCCAAAATTTGTTCCTATTGCCCTAACCTCAAGGGAGGTTCCTTGATGCTGGTGAGGGGCTCTTGCTCTAGGTAATTGCATCTCAAATCCCTGAACTGATCCTGAACACCTTCCAACCCTCTCCTACAGGTGCTGTGCAAGTGTTCACTGCTCCATTATATATACTAAATCCATTCTACTAACCATCTCCAGGACTTGAGTGGCCTCCATGTTGCTTTGACCACACTCCCACAGCATGTCGGAGTATTAAAAACAATTAGTCTCAATTCCATTAAATATGCTTACGAATGTTTGCTGAAAGTCCAAGCTCTGGCCACAAAACATCCTTAACCCTCCCTTCCCTCCACCCTTCTAGGATGACCCCTACCCCACCTTCTCTCCACTACAGATACACTGAAAGTCTGTTTTGTTCCATTCTCTGCCTGTCCAAACCACCTCAACAACCCTTCAGCCCTCTGGATAAGTTTTGGTAATGCCACACCTAATTTCCAAATTACGAATTCTCTGCAGAATATTCACTCGCCACTTTGCCCCGAGACATGACATTTCCACTGCCTCCAGCCTTCTCGTTGCAAGTCATCACCCATGCTTCACACCCATAAGAGTTGTGTATATAAGTGTTGGTATAACTATATTATACATTCCCCTCTGCTTCCACGGTATCTCTCAACCCCCATTCCACCCCCCCCCAGAGTCCTAAGTGCACCACTCCCTTTTCCCCTCGGTTCTGATTCGCCTCGTCCTTCATAGACCCATCTGACAGGTCCACTCCTAAGTATCTGAATACATTCACCTTTCATACTCCCTCTAATCTGATATCCAATCTTTCGTCACCTAATCTTTTTATCCTCATCACCTTACTCTTTCCTATATTTCGTTTGGAGAGAGTGGATCAAAGTAGAATGACATGGAAAGCATATAAATCTATAGGGGAAGGAGGGTGGGGTGGGGGTCGTCCTCGAAAGGGTTGGAGAGAGGGGCTTGGACTTCCAGCAGGCGTGCGTGAGCGTGTTGGATAGGAGTGGGTGGTGCTTGGGACCTGGCCCCTCAAGGAAGGTTCCTTGATGTTGGTGAGGGGCTCTTGATTTAGGGAATTGGATCTGTGCTCCAGTTCCCCGAATTAAGCCTGAATGCCTTCCACATCCCCCCCCCCAGGCGCTGTATAATCCTCCGGGTTTAGCGCTTCCCCCTTGATTATAATAATTGGGACCTGGCGATCTGTTGGAGTGTGAGCAGGGTAGTATTTGGTGAGGGGATTCAGGGAAACCGGTTATTTTCATATAGTCGGACTTGAGTCCTGGAAATGGGAAGTACAATGCCTGCACTTTAAAAGAGGGGTTTGGGATATTGGCAGTTTGGAGGGATATGTTGTGTATCTTTATATGTGTATGCTTCTAGACTTGTATTCTGAGCACCTCTGCAAAAACAGTGATAATGTGCGAGTGTGGTGAAAGTGTTGAATGATGATGAAAGTATTTTCTTTTTGGGGATTTTCTTTCTTTTTTGGGTCACCCTGCCTCGGTGGGAGACGGCCGACTTGTTGGGGAAAAAAAAAAAAAAACTGCTAAATTCGTCTACCAACCTCTGCAACTTCTCTTCGGAATCTCCCAAAAGCAGTGTCATCAGCAAAGAGCAACTGACAACTCCCACTTTGATTCTTTATCTTTTTAACTCCACACCTCTTGCCAAGACCCTCGCAATCACTTTTCTTAATATTGTTTGCAGGTTTCACTGTAAACACTTTGTCTACACACCCCCTACCTTTCCTAAAGCTGCCTTGTTCATCTGCTATCCTGTCTTACTCTTAATTTTTTCAATAACTCTACCATACACTTTACCAGGTATATTCAACAGACTTATTACCCTATCATTTTTTGCACTCCCCCCTTGCCTTTAAACAAAGGAACTATGCACGTGCTCTGCCAATCCCTAGGAACCTTACCCTCTTCTATACATAATCACTGTTTTTGCAGAGGTGCTCAGAATACAACAGTTCAGAAGTTTATACGTATAAATACACAACATATCCATCCACACTGCCAATATCCCAAACCCCCTCCTTTAAGTGCAAGCATTGTACTTCCCATTTCCAGGAGTCATGTCCGGCTATATAAAATAACCGGTTTCCCCGAGTCCCTTCACTAAATATTACCCTGCTCACACTCAGCTCGTCAAATACCATTCGTGTCCATTCACTCCTATCAATCATGCTCATGCACGCCTGCTGGAAGTCCAAGCCCGTCGCCCACAGAACCTCCTTTTCCCCCTCCCTCCAACGTTTTTTTTTTTTTTTTTTTTTTTTCTTCTCCCCTCAAGGAAGGTTCCTTGATGTTGGTGAGGGGCTCTTGATTTAGGAAATTGGATCTGTGCTCCAGTTCCCTGAATTAAGCCTGAATGCCTTCCACATCCCTCCCCAGGCGCTGTATAATCCTCCGAGTTTAGCGCTTCCCCTTGATTATAATAATAATAATAATCCAACGTTTTCGAGGACGACCCCTACCCCGCCTTCTACAGATTTATACGCTCTCCATGTCATTCTACTTTGATCCATTCTCTTAAATGACCAAACCACCTCAAACCCTCTTCAGCCCTCTTAATACTTTTATTAACTCCACACTCCGAATTTTCTGCGTAATATTTACACCACACATTGCTCTTAGACAGGACATCTCTACTGCCTCCAACCGCCTCCTCGCTGCAGCATTTACAACCCAAGCTTCACCCATGTAAGAGTGTTGGTACTACTAATAGAAGCAAGATGCATCATTTTCTTATATTAGTAGTCGAGCATTAGAGATCGTGTTACTGAAAGTAGTATCTTTATTGGGGTCAATATGCTTAGGTTAGCCCATTCAAACCCCTGCACAGAAGCCCTCCAAACTTTCCTCAGCACTGGTGAACATCCTTCCAGATGGATCGAAAAAACTGGAACCGACCTCCGCATGAACCAGCTACATGATCTGTCAAGTTAGGCAACAGACACTTCCCTGCTCCATGGGATATTACCCTATTCCAAACTACCATTCCAACATTTTCCCCAAAATTATTCTTAAATCGCCTTTGCGAATAATCACTCAGTTATTGCCATATTTTTTGACCTTGAGAAGGCATATGACACAACTTAGAGGTATAATTTTTTGGGCCCGGGCCCCTTTTCCTTGGGCCCTTTCCAAAGGAACACCACCCTTCCCTTAAGAATTTTTAACTGCCCCGACATTTCCGTTTTTGAGTCTAAAATGTTTTTTTCCCCCGGCTTCGCCCAAGCTAAAAGGTGCCCCCTCAGGGATGGGTTTAAGCCCAACATTTTTTTCCCCTTTTTTCTAAAAATTTTTTTTGGCCTCTGTTTTTCCCAACCAATTTTTTGGTCTTTAAATTTTATGTTGTTTGACTTCGCTATTCCCTTGTGCAGGCGTTTGACTGTCCCCTTTTATTGCGTTTCTCCCCAAAGCATCCCGGGCCGCCCGTTTTTCCCAAACTTGGGCCACCACACAGGGGTTTTAAAATTTTCAAGTCCCCCCCAAAACTCCCCCCCCCAAATTATTTTTCACTAGCGCTTTTTTAATCCCCGATCACCCCTTTGTATTCTATGGCTCCCATACCCCCCAAAAGGGTAGTCAGGTTTTAGGCCTTCTTTTTTGACCGCCCGGTTAACCGGGAAAAACCTCACTTTTACCTTCTAAAGGAAACTTTGTCAGGGGGCCCGGCAAACCCTTTTTAAAAACCCTTGTCATTTTCCTGGGGAGCTGATCTTTCAAAACTCTGCTTCTTTTTCTTTCCCCAAGCCCTCGTTTTATAAAAACTCGATTATGGTGACCAGTTTTTTCCCGGGCCTCCCCTGCTACTTTTCTCTAGCCTTAAAACTTTTATCCATCCCCCAAGGCTTACGTTTGTCCCTTGGTGCTTTTCGCTTTTTCCCCTTTTGAGGCCTCTATTAAAGAAGCAAATTTTCCCATCCTTGTCGATCCCTTTGAGGGCCCATTGCCTTCGTTACTATGTACCCCTCTCACGATCTACCCCTTCCTTCCATTTATAAAATTTGGTCCCCAAAATATTAGTGGGACATTCTTTTTTCCCGTTCGCCCCCCCTGTTTGCTCCTTTCCCCTTTTCTCTTTCGTTTTACATTAAATTTTGTTTTCCCCTTTCCCCATTTTCCAACCTTTATATGTTCAGGGTTGCATCTCATTTTTCCCCCTCCCCCCGGGGAATTTCCCAGCTGTTCGGGTCTGTTTTTTCCCTCCTCCTTGCCGAAACCAAAACTCCCTTTCGGTGGTTCCCCCCGCTCTCTTTTTCTTGATCATTTCCCCACTCCCATTCTCATGCCACCGCTGTGTAACAGAGGGTTTAAAGGTCTTCGACGGGGTGGGAAATTCCCCGTGTTTTCGGGCGCGTCGTACGGGGGGCTTTAAATATTTTCAGTTGCTATTTTTACTGTTTGAACTGTATTTCCCTTTCTTGCAACTTATTGGGTTTCCCCACCCTATGGCCTGTGTAATCTTTTGTAGTAGTCCCCAGACTCCTTAGTGCTCACAGGTTTTTACAAAAAATTTGATACATCTCATCCCCTGGGTTTTCCCCGTACCCAAATTTTTGGGCTACGCCGAAATCTTCCCCAAACATAAAAGATTTTTTTTTTTTGTTGGGCCCCTGGTCATGTGGAGTGGGGGGGCAATGAACAGGCAGACATGCTCCCGGGGTTTAGCAGTACA